GTGCATCAATCACCTCCCAGTAATGATGTTTTTGACCGTTTATGTAGCCCATAAAGGTTAGTTTCATTTTGACAAGAATGTACAAAAAGCACCTATGACTCCTCTGAAGGAGTTACAAGCTTTAGTATTAATGTGAGACACTGTTCATATTGTCGAGCATCATGTGTGGGGATCTTCTCAGCAGCAGCCTGGAAGGCTTGTGACGGTAGAGGGTGAATGAATGCAGCAGAGTGAAGAGAAATCCTGGAGGACAACCTGATGCAGTCTGCAGCAGAACTGAGACGTGGAGAAGACTTGTTTTCCATCAAGACAATGAGCCGAAGCAAACAGCCAAAGCTCCACAGAAATGGTTTGAAGACAACAAGGTGAAGTTCTGGAGGCCCAGTCAGAGTCCAGACCTCAGTCCAGCTGAGGGTGAGTGTCTGGACTTAAAGTTCTGTTCACTGATGGTCCCTGTAGAACCCGACAGAGTCTGAACAGTTTCATCAGAAGAATGGAGTCCAGATGTTCAGACTGATGGAGACCAACAGGACCAGTGATGGAGCTGCAGCTAAAGGTTTATTTACAAAATGACGGGCATGAATACTTCTTTTTTTTTTTCATTATTTAGCATAACTTTGTAGGAATCTGTTGTCTCTTTGACAGGAGAAAGTCTTTTTGTAAACTCTTGTCAAAAAGCCAAATTAAATTGATCATGTTTCAACACTGAGAAGTAATGACGGGGAAACTTCCTCTGGGGATGGACACTGTTTACGGGTTCTGAATGGTTGATTCTGTGTCTCTGTTTGCTCAGGACTTTAAAACAATGCATTCAGTGTGAAAGTCTTCACCTGTTTGAGTATTGATTCTCTTCTTAAGTATCTTGAGAACTGAACCTAAAGGGCTCATGTGTCCTTCTACCAGGACACACCTGACGGTCCGTTGTACCAAAACCTTTGTTCACAACTGTAAAATCCAGAGAAATTTTAATTTGCACAACTTCAGTTAAGTCAAATTAAACCATAGAGAAAAGAGACAGTGTTTAA